ACTAAGATATACTATATATACACTAAGATATACTATATATACACTAAAATATACTGTATATATACACTAAGATATGCTATATATACACTAAGATATGCTATATATACACTAAGATATACTATATATACACTAAGATATACTATATATATATATACTAAGATATACTATATATACACTAAAATATACTATATATACACTAAGATATGCTATATATACTAAGATATACTATATATACACTAAGATATACTATATATATACTAAGATATACTATATATACACTAAGATATGCTATATATACTAAGATATACTATATATACACTAAGATATACTATATATACACTAAGATATGCTATATATACTAAGATATATGTGAAATGAGCGCCAAACAGTACGCTAAATGTTCTAAGATATACGCTAAACTAATAATAATAATAACACTAATAATGTAAAACAATACGGCCTAACAACAGCAGCCTGAACATGAGTCTGTGTGAGCAGATGGGTACGAATGAATACAGCAGCATGAGATAATCAACAGCATGAAATCAGCAGCATGGATAATCAACAGCACAGATAAGTCGCATATCACCAATTAAGGTGGCGTTACAGTGATTTTTTTTCCTTACACTGATTATCTTGGTTAGGGATTTATGAGTCTAACAGCTTCAGGGTAGAAGCTGTTCCTGAGTTTAGTGCAGGGCTATTGAACTAAACTGCTCGGAGGGGCCACAGTTTCTGAAAGTCAGCAGCTCAGGGGCCGGACATCCAGCAATTAGAGTCATTAGTATCTTTTAAATTTGTTTGTTTTATTGCATTGAAATGCAATAAACAGAACCCAAACCCAGAACCCCCCAATTTTTTTAAATGAATTCATTGGTGGGCTGGATTGAAGTCATTTCTGGCCCACGGGCCACCAGTTGAATAGCCCTGGTCTAGTGGTTCAAGTTTCTTTTTTGTCATTTGCATCACATGTGGTGGAACAAAATTGTGTACAGTACTCAAGGTCCCAGTTACATCCAAAAATAGCAAAAATATAAAGTATAAAAAACCCCTCAGTATGCAAGGATCTAAGATACACTAAACAATAATAATGTAATATGGTGTATTAATCCTGTCTTTTCTTTTCTTCTGTTAGTGGCTGAACATCTTATAGCTCAGCACAGTGCGATAAAGATGCTCCACAGCCGAGTGAAGATCATCCTAGAATACGTCAAAGCCGTAGAAACAGGTGAGAGAACTCGTTTATGAGGCACCGACGGCAAAGAATGTGAAAATCAGCAGAGCAGCTGGTCTCAAATGTTTCTCCTCCTGTCTTCCTATGTGCACGAACACAACCCTGTAATTACAAGATTCTCTTCAGTCGTATTTTAGAAACATCATCTCAACACGCCACGCTTTTTATTTTTTCTCTCGGGACAGGTGAGGTGCCATTTAATCACGAGATCCTCCGTGAAGCAAACGCCCTGTGCCACAGACTGCCGGTCCTCAGCACCATAAAGTTCAAAACTGACTTCTATGATGTAAGTCTTTTATTTTTATATACATATACTCGTGGTTTTAAAATAACCAATTATGGAGCAAAGTTGTGCAGATAAGAAGAAATGCATGGATTATACCAGGAGCTATTAAAAATGTCAGTTGATTTGATAAAACTTACAAATATTTCTTATAAAAAAAATTAAATAAATTTGTCAGAAACAAGTTTCTGTTTACTGACGCATATTTTTGCTTTAATTTCTGCATGATGGAAATGGAAACGAAGAAAACAAAAGTACCAGAGAAATCATTAATTTGTTTAATTAATTTTATTTTAAAAGATTTTAAGACATTTACTATTTGTCTGGAAGCAATAAGATCTAAGGGATTTGTAAAAGCAACTAATACAAGTAACTGTGACAAAATTTACCCTCAGTATGCACAAAATATAACACCTGTTATGTATGAAATGTTCTGCACGGGCATTCCTTCACCCGCCACCTTTCACCACCGCAGTTTTAGACAAAGATCACGTGACAAAGTCGGAGTTGTTTGGCCCAAATTATGAAAATGTGTGCAATCTCACTCTCAGATTATATGATAGCAACTCTTTAAACATTTTTAGCACCAAAAATATGTCCAGTAGTCCCTCGTTTATAACGGGGGTTTCTGTTCTCAGTCCACCCGCGATAAGTGAAAAACCGCGAAGTAGGAATAGTAGTACAAGTAGTAAGTAGTAGTTTATTTTAGTATTCATTCATTTACACACACACACGTATATGTGTGTGTGAAGGCGTTTCAAACCCTTCCCACACTCTTGCAATATTCTAAACACTAAATGAGCACAGAATGTCATAATCTTCGGCTGCACTCTGCCACACCTGGTAACGCTCTCGGCCACGCCTCCTTCTCTGCTTTGCAGCGGAGATCATGACAGGCTGCAGGAGCGAGCTTCTCCCTGCACATGTGGGCTGCCCACATGTGCAGCAGGTGTTAAATAATTTTAAAATACAGTAGTCCCTCGTTTGTCGCAGGGGATCCGTACCCTGAAGACCCGTGAAAAGTGAAAAACCGCCAAGTAGGGATAATAGTCCAAGTAGTAAGTAGTAGTTTTAGTATTTATATATATTAAGTTGTTTTAAACCCTTCCCACACTCTTGCAATATTCCAAACAATGTTTCTAAACTCTAAACGCTCTAAAAGAACACAGAATGTCATGATTTCAGCTCTCTGCCTCGGCTGCTCTCAGCCGCCTGCTAGCGGTCTTGGCCACGCCCACTTCTCCGCTCTGCACGGAGAACAGCTGATCAGCTGCAGCAGGAATTTTATCCTGCAGTGTGGGCTGCACAAAGGTGCAGGAGGTGCTAAATAACTTTAAATAATTTATTTTAAATAAAAATTCCATGCCGATCGTGCGGCTCATCCGTCAATCAGCCAATTGTGTGTCTTGTCCAATCTTATTTTGAAAAACCGCGATAGAGCGAGTATGCAAAAAACGAACCAGGAAGTAGCGAGGGACTACTGTATTGAGGATTATTCTCGGCTACTAGCACACCAAATTTTAGCTCAATATCTATATGGACTTAGTTATGACTACGTTTGTGTTTGCTTAGATCACTTAGCTGTGATTTTGCTAACGGGTACAGGAAATCGTTGCCTGTCTTTAGGTGGTGAATGAATAAAAACAACTTTCAGAGATGACTGCTTAAACATTTGTTTTTTACTTGTACATTTTTACCCAGTATTCTTCTTATTTGAGTTATTTATTCATAAGCAGCAAAAATCAAGGTATTGTTGTTTTATTGAACCTTTGCAACCATTTTTGCTTTATTTTCTCGCAGCAATGTAATGACGTCGGCCTCATGGCGTATCTAGGAACCATCACCAAGACCTGCAACAGTATGAACCAGTTCATTAACAAGTTCAACGTCCTGTACGACAGACAGGGCATCGGCCGGAGGATGAGAGGACTTTTCTTTTGAGCGGACAGGAAGCTGAAACAGAGAGGCAAACACACAAACTGCATTTTTTTTTTCCTGTTTTATTCTCTTTTTTGTTGTTTTGGTTGTATTTTCATGAGCTAAAAGAAACTTTTAAAGTAACTGCAGCTTTTCAACACCGATGTACCATTTTCAGCCACGAGTGTATCCACATGCACTTCATGACATGAATCCGTAGGCGATCCGTACGAACTCCTTCTACTCTCTGGGTTTGCACAGCAGTGAGATCACTGTACATGGACGTTATCTTATTTTACCCAGTTTGTTTGTTTCATGTTTCTGTGTAATAAATGATCTGTTAGGTTTTTTTTCAATGGAGCTTTTTGTCCTCTTTGTGAACAGAAATGGTTTTAAAAAGGCGCACATGATAGTAATTACGCAGAACACAAGAATGTCCGAGCGGTACTTTTAAATGAGCTCATGAAAGCTTTGCTTCGTGGAGCTGCAGGTTTATGGTCGGGAGCCGTTTCTTGTCAACTCATCTTTTTTTTAAGGTGTGTTCCTGCTGTTTGATGGCCTGTAGTGGTTTCAGGCACACATGCATATGTGGCAGGAAGAGGGAACAGTGCAGCTCCAGTCTTAAGGTGTAGAACACGAGTCAGCGTTTATTTGAGTATTAAATGTGCAGCAGAATCAAACGTAACGACCTCCAGCCTGTGAGTTGGCACCACGAGTCTTCTTTTGAAACTTGCCATGTGGCACCGGGAGGAGCAACACTTTAGTTTCTTTTTGCACCGTTTTATAAAGTTTTAAAATCTAAAATCAACCCATTAACGGAGGAAAAACTGATTTCACTCATTTTATTGTCTCATAAATCAATAAATCGTATCGACTGAAGTTAGTTTTTTTTTTTTTTAACACGGTGACAGATTTTTATTCACAACAGCTCATTCATGCACTCAGACATTTTTCATCACGGTGACTTTATGCAGCCTGGATGGACGTTTTCAGTCAACTTTACATTTGTTTAAATAGACGCTCTCCCTCAGACTCCTCGCGGTCATTTGCTCCCCTCTGCAGGCTCGTCTCCGGCGCCTGGCTGGGGGTACTGGTAGCGGACCGGGTCGTACAGCTCATCCCTGGGGTCGTAGACGTGAGGGTAGTAGTAGGAATGAGGGTACATTTTTAGTTTCTTCATGGGTGCAGGAGGTGCTGGCTCCTCCACAGGTTCCTCCTCCTCCTCTTCATCCTCCTCTAGAGGAGGAGGAGGAGGTGGTGGGACTACAACCTTTCCCTTCATGGGTCTGGGCGGGTGGTCGATCAGGCAGTCGGGGTCCCAGTAGGGGTCGCAGTCGTACTCCATGCTCTTGAAGGTGCGGACGGGGGCCGGGGCAGACTTCGTGACCAGGCTTGGAGGAGGCAGGGGGGATTTCTTTGGTAGAGGACCTTTGAAAGCTTCTACAGGGGGCGGGGGTGGTGCCTTCTGCGGGGTGCAATGGGGGTGGTAGCGAGGGTCGCAGAGCACGGGCACGGCACCGCTGGGCAGGTAGACGATGTGCGGCTTGCAGAGGGGGTCCCTGCTGTTACACAGGAAGAGCACGTCCGCCTGGGAGATGGATGGGGCAGGAGGAAGAGGAGGAGGAGTTGCTGGAGGATCCATGGCCTTGGGCACTCCTTTCATCGAAGGAGGAGGAGCAACTTTGCACCTTTTGTCTGTGGTCGGGTCGCACATGATCATCGGCACGCCCAGTTTGCTCTGGAAATAGGAGGCGTTCGGGCCGTAGGCCTGCTCCAGGTAGCGCATCTGCTGGTAGAGCATCCTCAGCTTGTCGATCTCGTAGAGCTGAGAGAAACAGAAGAACTGTAAACACTCTGCATCGAAGAGGATCATCGTCAACATTAACCGCGCAGAAACATTTGAACAGAAACCTTCCATGCATTTAAAGCTAGTCCAAACGCTCATTTAAATGTGCGTCCAATCTGCGTGTCAAACCATTTTCATTTGAAATAAACATCCGATGCAATCCAAACACAACTTGGTGTGATAAAAATGGACAAAAAGTCCCGTCTTTCACGTATACGTGCGTCTCTTACCCCCTCGGTGTGTCCGATGCTGCTGTAGTATCTGTAGTACGCCTGGAAGTCCGGGTTTCCTCGGTACCACCTGGGGTCGGCGTTACGCTTCGGTCTGGTGTGAGACAGGAAGTTGTTGGCTTTCTCTGAGTTGATGCTCACAGGGACCATCTCTGCTGGAAGAAGACACGAAGCTCAACTTTTTTAATGTTTAAGGAAAAAGTTTGAAGCTGATACAAGGAAGGTGACTTGAACTTGCCTTCCTGCTGGATGACATTCAGCAAGGATTTGGCATCCAGAAGGCCTTAAATAAAAAAAAATAAAAAAAATTAGTGCTGCTGGTTTTTCACCAGTTTATGAAGTAAAGAAGATAAAATGACCTGGGAGCACGAGGCAACAAAGTGTCCCCAACAGGCATAATGACGAAATCATCTTGAACCTGTGATCTGGAAAAAAAAAAACTTATTTTAAAGCATTTGACGAAAGATGATCACACTCAAGTGATAGAAGTCAGCATTACTGTTAACGTACAGAAAGGAAAACACGTTGAGAAAAAGTCACAGAATTATCCAAAAACAACAAATCAGATTTGTGCTGAAACTGTCCAAGCATGTTTGACTCACCTGGCTCAGGAGGCTGTCTTCACCGGACCAACAGGGCTGAGCTGGGCTAAATACAAATCCCCCCCGCCAGTCACTGTGTCACAGAACCTCCCGTCCAATAAGATCTCACCAACATTGAGATGAAAAGCTTGTCTCCACCTCTCTTTAAATATTGTTTAAAGTAGGGCCTTTGGCACAAATTAGGAATAAAAAAGGCCCCTGAACCCCCAGCTCTAAAGAAAAAAAAACTTCAAATGGAAACTCCCAGTTAAGTTTGGAAGGAAATCATCACCTGCTGGGAGAACAGCAGCCGAGCTGAAACACTGCTCAGCAAAAACCTTACAAAGCCTTGAATGTTAAAAAAAAAAAAAAACTGAAACGTGGTCCTTTTGAACCAAGAAGTTTATATTTTTTAATCAAAACTGCAGCATTTGTTTCATTTTTTTCATGGTCGCCATTAATTTCAATGTGTTTAAAATGAGTGTTAATGCAGTGGTCTGTCAAGACAAGCATTATGCAAACTTGCTGTATTTGTTTTTGTCCCACCACTGTAGAAAGTCTTTGAAAATATACAGGTGCTGGTCATAAAATTAGAATAGCATGAAAAAGATGGTTAATTTCAGTAATTCCATTCAAAAAGTGAAACTTGTATATTATATTCGTTACACACAGACTCATATATTTCAAGTGTTTATTCCTCTTAATGTTGATTATTATAACTGACAACTAATGAAAACCCCAAATTCAGTATCTCAGAAAATTAGAATATTGTGAAAAGGTTCAGTATAAAGTGTAAAGTGTTCAGTATTGAAGACACCTGGTGCCACAGTCTAATCGCTTAATTAACTAAAAACACCTGCAAAAGCCTTTAAATGGTCTATTTCTGTAGGTTACACAATCATGGGGAAGACTGCTGACTTGACAGTTGTCCAAAAGACGACCATTGACACCTTGCACAAGGAGGGCAAGACAAAAGGTCATTGCTAAAGAGGCTGGCTGTTCACAGAGCTCTGTGTCCAAGCACATTAATAGAAAGGCGAAGGGAAGGAAAAGATGTGTTAGAAAAAGTGTACAAGCAATAGGGTTAACTGCACCCTGGAGGATGGTGAAACAAAACTCATTCCAAAATATGGGGGCGATTCACAGAGTGAACTGCAGCAGGAGTCAGTGCTTCAAGAACCACCACGCACAGACGTATGCAAGACATGGGTTTCAGCTGTCGCATTCCTTGTATCAAGCCACTCTTGAACAAGAAACAGCATCAGAAGCGTCTCGCCTGGGACTGCTGCTGAGTGGTCCAACGTTATGTTCTCTGATGAAAGTAAAATTTGCATTTCCTTTAAGGTCCCAGAGTCTGGAAGAAGAAAGGAGGCACAGAATCCATGTTGCTTGAGGTCCAGTCAGTTTCCACTGTCAGTGATGGTTTGGGGTACCATGTCATCTGGTGATGGTCCACTGTGTTTTCTGAGGTCCAAGGTCAACACAGCCATCTACCAGGTTTTAGAGCACTTCATGCTTCCTGCTGCTGACCAACTTTGTGGAGATGCAGATTTCATTTTCCAACAGGACTTGGCACCTGCACACAGTACCAGAGCTACCAGTATCTAGTTTAAGGACCATGGTTGTTCTTAATTGGCCAGCAAACTCTCCAGACCATAACCCCATAGAAAACCTGTGGTATTGTGAAGAGGAAGATGTGATACACCAGACCCAACATTTCAGAAGAGCTGAAGGCCACAGAGCAACCTGGGCTCTCATACCACCTGAGCAGTGCCACAGACTGATCCACTCCATGCCACGACACATGGCTGCAGTAATCCAGGCAAAATGAGCAACAACTAAGTATTGATGCTGTACATGCTCATACTTTTCAGATGGCCAACATTTCTAAAGATCCTTTTATTGGTCTTTTCTAATTTTCTGAGATATTGAATTTGGGGTTTTCATTAGTTGTCAGTTATAATAATAATAAACATTAAAAGTAAGCATTTGAAATATAACAGTCTGTATGTAATGAATGAATATACAAGTTTCACTTTTTGAATGGAATTACTGAAATAAATCAACTTTTTTTTAATGATATTCTAATTTTATGACCAGTACGTGATATAGTAATATCCAAGCAGGACTGAAATATTACTTCTGCAGCCTTTAGTTCAATTACCACTTCGGACCTCAAAATAACAAGTATTAAACTTACGACTAGAGAATTTTACCACTTTTGAGTACTACAATGTTCTACTACCTTAAAATACAAGATTTTGGGATGCGACTAAACCATAGGTGCATTTCTGTTTTTAAACAACTGTAATTGCAGCCCTGCATGTGACTTTTGAGGGCGGGCGTTCCTGAACACAAACCAGGCTGCTGCACATCTAAACCAGGTGTTGAGACGTGATGATTGTAGGACACTTCATACCGTTTCATGTGCACACAGGAGTTGGTTTTACCCATTTATTATAACTCTTAACACAAGGCTCAACATCCACTTCTTTTGCCTGACTTACATTACAAATACAAAATGTACAAAATGCTGAACATTAACTGGAGGCTTAAGGCAACAAAATGCAGATAATACTACACTATAGCATGTACTGATACATATTTACAAGCAGTTTAATAGTTATCAGGAATCTTCAACATTAAAAGCAATAAATCTCCAGGGAAACTATTTTTTTCATAATGTTCAGGCATTAAAAGGAAGTCCATGCTCTGCCCGACTTGTGTTACAAAATGCAGAAGCACAAAGAGCCCCAACACAAGCCTGGAAATCACCCACAGGCGGCTGAAACGCAGCACTGTGTGAAGGACGCGTTCAGACGAAGGTGATCCGGCTGCGGGCCTGGTTGACCTGCCACACGTTCAGCTCCTCGTACTCCTCCAGCGCCTCCTGGAACTGAGCGGGCGTGAAGCCACGAGAGACGCAGCGCTGCTCAGCTTCGGCCATGCGAACCACGCCGCCGGCCCCGCCGCGGCCCGCCGAGCCTTCTGTGGCGAGCTCACGCACCAGAGAGAAGACGACGTCGGCTGGACGCTGCGTCCTGGAAAGGGAGGGGTTCAGACTGAGAACAAGTCGATTGCTCCGTGTGTCTACACCTCTACCAGCTGACTGTAAAGTTATAAGCAGCTTAACTTCTTTCCACAAGAGAAGATTTGACCAAAGAATCATATTGTTAAATTAAAAACTTGAAAAAACAAAACTGTTGCCTTGTTTTGGTGTACAGCACATTTACGTGAACACGATGTAACAGCACTCATAAAAAAGGTTTTACAGCTTCCTCAACTAAAATACAAGAAACCCATAAAAAAGGAAACCTGGGTCAGCCAACATCTGGTTACAGACGTTACGCTTACTATGCGCTGACTAAATGTGAAGTTTCAACACCAACCTGGTGGTGCTGGACTTGTCAGCTTGCAGAGAATCCTTTGACATCTCCATCAGTCTCATAGCCTCGTTGACGTCCTCCTTATCCACCGTGTCCATCATGCGGAGTCGAGCCTGAAGACGGGCATGCAAAGTGCGAGCGGTGTTTAGACTGAAGACGTACGTAAACACGCTCAAACATCTTACTGGATTCAGGTCGATGTAGGCTGCGCTACGCCGGCACTGTCAGACCGAGACAAGTGCAATGCCCTCTGGGATGGTCAGCAATTGCTCAAGTCTCCGCCTCTCAAAACCAGCTAGTCTCTCCGTTGAAACGATAAAAGTATCAAGCGATTGGAAGTTCACATACGGAGGATACTGGAGACAGCTCTGGCCATGGGCAGTTTTGCATGGGTTTGCACAGCTGGTCGTAATGCACACAGGCTGACTGCCCACCCTGCAAAGCTGACCAGGAGCAGAAAAATACATTTAGAATAAAAATTAAAAGCTCATTTTTATTTTTCACCGTCCACATTTTCAAACTAGTCACTAAAACAGAATCTGAAGCGCAGTCCTTTCCCAACACAGACGTAGCAGCACTCTGCCCCCTTGTGGACATTTGCGTGCAGCACAGCGCCTAGCCGTTTGCCTGAAGTGCTGGTTTTGCAGTAGGTGGGTGATTGCTACCTGCACAAACAGCACTTTTGACAACCAGAGGCAGAGAATGCATCATCGCACAAGTGTCTGAAAACATGCGTTCGGTGTCAAACTGAAGGGTGTGTCCGGTGTGTGAAAGAAGTGCTCACACTGCAGTAGACCGGGTCATCACTACCTGCACTGTAAGCACTTTATCACACACTCGGCTACTGATCAAAACAAATGTACTCACAGACGTTGTAACACGCGCACGTAAACGTTCACTTTGAAATTAAATCTTTACACCATTTCACCTGATCACACTGAAGTACATTTACTCTACATCTTCTGGTAAAGTTAGAGAAGAGCACACACTTTGAAACCGGTCCAGATGTGGTACTCACCAGGGCGGTTGAGAGGCGCAGGATGGACAGGAGGGTACGGGCCGAGGTGAAGGTGGTGTCTTTGCTGACTCGAGCCTCTTTTCTCATTTCGACATATGCAGCAGTGATGTAATCCGCCAGGGACTCCGGCACAACAGGCTGACGCTTTTTACACAGAGCTATGAAACGCCTGGAAAAAACAAAACCAAAAAAAAAAAAAAGCATTAAAAAAGTTGTAATTAAAGTCAAACGGCCAAACATTTAGCTCCAACTTACTCAATTTTTGTTTAGAATTTTAAAAACTGGCACATATCGTGACTAATTTACAACGGAGACTAGTGGAAATCAAAACACCTCATCAGTTTCATGTCGATGGGGGTGAAGTGAGTGGGCGGCTGACGGGAGTGCTGGTGAACATAGGTGATGTGCTGAGCGAGGCGCAGGTCAGCGTCAGCATCTGGTTTGTCCTGGATGAGCCAGAGCACATCGAAACGGGAGAGGAGAGCGGCTGGCAGCTGAATGTTCTGCTCGATGCTCTTCCGGGGATTGTAGCGGCCGTAGGCCGGGTTGGCTGCAGCGAGAATGGAACAACGGGCGTTGAGGGAGGTCATGATTCCAGCCTGGAGAGGAAAACGACAAAACAGCACAAGTGATGTTTCTAAACCCGTTTGGATCGTTTGTTCTACTAGTAGGGGTCGTAGCAGTACATACCTTAGCGATGGAGATGGTTTGCTGTTCCATCACCTCGTGGATGGCTGTTCGGTCAGCGTCAGCCATTTTATCAAACTCGTCGATACAACAGACGCCCAGGTCAGCCAGCACCAAGGCGCCTCCTTCCAAAGTCATCTCACCAGTCAGAGGGTCACGCATCACAGCTGCAGTCAAACCGACCCCTGAAGAGCCCCGACCCGTTGTGTACTGACCTGTGAACCAGAACAAACAAGGACTAGAGTTACACAAAACTGATTCCAAGTGTGACTAAAACCAAGCGACTTCATTTAGATACTGAATTAAAGCAACATTTAAAGTTACTTTCAGAACGTTCCTTCTAATGAACAAGAGAAGAACTCCACCCCACGGATAGTTCATATTTTACGGAGTTTGTTTCAATGGAAAGAAGCAGCGTACCAAATAAAATATTCAGCTAGATACAGGACTTACTTCGAGGAGCCAGACGGTCGATGTAAGACAACAGCTGGGACTTGGCAACTCCTGGGTCTCCCATCAAGCAGACATTTATATTACCTTGACGAGGAACGTAGAATGAGGCAAATATTACAACTTTTTGAGAAAAAGCGTCTTTGATGAGCACAAAATTTATTAAAAAAAAACACTATCAAGAAGGTCTAAAATAACACTTTAACACCTTCAGGGGCAAAAACAAAACAAAAAATCAATCTGGATTTCGAAGGATCATTTGCGCTCACCTCGGATCTTCATGCCTTTTGGAGCCTGTTCCACCCCCCCAACCAGCAACAGCAGCAGGGCCTTCTTGACGTCCTCGTGCCCGTAGATTTCTGGTGCGATCGATCCAGCTAGTTTCTCATAAAACCCTTCCTCTGAAACAGAAAAAAAACATTAGCTTTAGTTGCTGAAAGAGTGACTAAAGAAGTACAGGCACGTCTGTTCTCAAATCCACAAGAGCTGCTAACCTGTGATGCTGCGCAGCTCCTCATCAGTCAGCTCCTCGTTGCCAAGCTCATCGTCTTCCGTTTTATTCATTAGCGTGATGCTATGAGCATCTAGGTAGGTTTCTGACAAAAGGCCCTACAGCAACCATATTCATATACAGAAGAAAAGTTTAAATACCTTGATAAATGCTCTATGCACCAACGAGGTTATGTTTTATAGGTCTGTCACGATAACAAATTTTGCCGGGCGATTAATTGTCTCGGAAGTTATTGCGATAAACGATAATATTGTTTGAAATTTGACAATAATTAGTAATTATTGTCAATTTTAAGAAGAAATGTTGGTTGATTTGTTGTGTGTAGTACCCCTTTCAACCACTGGATAGCAGTATAAAACTGAACCGAAGGATGGATAGTGAGGGAGCGAGCAGTGTGTCGCTTTAAGAAAAATGGGAGGGAGGCCCCTTGACGTGACATGGGCTGTCTCTCCTTCCTTTTTTTTTGGGTTCTCAAAATGGTGGACGCTCTGTGTGGTTTGAGCTATTTAGCATAGCATTTTTCACAAAAAGCTTTTAATAATAATAATAATAATAATAAAAAAAAAAAAACAATGGGAGAAAAACAACTTTTTACACAAAGGTACGGGTTTCAACAGCGAATGTTGGAGCTTCGACAAGACGGAGGTTTTGTCCCTGAGGTCAGCCTGTTAGCTTAGCTCGTAGCTTAGCTGATTTTAACGATCCAAAAACGCGATTTTGGATCGTTAAAATGGATTTTAAAAAGAAAAGAGAAAGAGAGGGGTCGGTGAAGAGCACCGGAGTTGAGTTTTTGTCATTCAGTGTCTTCGGTAGAAAGAGAGAGACACAAAGAAACAATAAAGTCGATAAATAAAAATGAGGTTGATAATTTTCATGCATCATGCGATTAACTGATTAATTGTTTATCGTGACAGGCATAGCTGCTAAAACAAAAGAAAAAAATACCTGAATGGCCTGACTGTAGCCCGAGCGCAGCAGAGGGAGGAAGATTCCTGTGATGGCTACATGGTCTCCTGGCTGGGCAAGGCGTGTGTTTTCACCGCGGGCGTACACCGTCATGCTCCTTGGGATATTGCCAACAGGCACCTGGTCACTCTGTGGAACGTCAGACAAGAGCTCATGAACAAATGAACACGCGTGGGGAAAAAAATAAAAATAAAATCACAGCTCCCTCTGTAGTTACATGTTCCTGAATACGCAGCTCCTGGAATTTCACAAATTTAGAGCCTCTGGTTTGCAGATAGAGCCGCCCTCCGGATTTGTTGGTGACGCACTCTTGGCTGGGACACATGACGAGAGGCATGAAGGTGGGAGACTGGATCTGAGGAACGCAGAGACGGGATGATATTAACGCTTTAATCTCGTAATTTAAAACGCAACTCGTTAGCAAGCAATCTTACTGGTTGGTAGGTTTCAGCGCCACATTGGTCACACGTGTACGTAGCCACAGCCATCATTGGTTTGACCTCAGTGGCACGAGTCACAATGCCTCGAACTGTGACCAGCTGGCCGATGCTTTCAGCCCGAATATCACGAACCACTTTGGGCTTCGAGGTGCTGGGAGGTTTAAAGTAGAGCTCACTGTGGAAACAAAGTTTATGAGAAATGCACATAAAAACAGATAAAACTCTCAAGTCTATCTGGCTTTACATACAATCTCCTCATGAGCTCAGGTGGGTAATGGTTATGGGCGTCTCTGGTATCAGCAGGATCACGGCCTCTTTGTTCCATCATCAGCCTGTGCTCAATGTACACGTCCAGAGAATCTTTGGCTACAATCTTAACGCAAAAATAAATTAGATGAACAAATCGACATATATTGACTATCAGATAGGAGCAGCCAGCCGTAGACACATCTAAAAAGTAACTCTTCATACATCTCTTTCTCTGTATTCTGGCAGCAGCTCATGTACGGCATCAGCGAACAGGGATACGTAGCGTTTGGCATTTTCACAGATGCTCTCCACCAGCTCGGGGTCTTCTTCAGCCACATCATCCAGCTCAACAAAGAGGGACACCTTTTCCCGGTGGGCCAATGCAACCTGCACACATAGGCAGGTTGTTAGAAGAAAAAAAAAAACTAAATCAATTATACCACCAACACTACTGAAAACCGCCAAACTTAGGGTTGAAATAACTCTAGTAACCCATAGATTTTGTAAACGTGCAAAGTAAATGCTAAAAGTTTTTCCTCCTAAAGAAGCAACATTTTTTGTTTTAGTACTAAAATTCAACTGCAAAAGTGTGAAGTGCTCATCAAACAGAATGCACACACAAAAAAAAATAAACCACTCGCACCTAATTATGTCAAAACCTTTTCAATTCATGGTGTCTACATCACAATCATCGGGGCAATAAATACAATGTGTTTAACCAACAATAATGAAATGCATCAATTTGTGTTAATATTAAAAAAAGAAAAGAAAAAAAGATGACAATTACAAAAACTTGTTTTGGGCCACATTTTGTCCAATTTTAGACTGGGATTTAACCCAAAAACAGCTCTACTTTGGGTATTTTGTGCTCATAAACAGTGATATCTCTTGCCGTTCTGTCTGATTCATAAACAGAAAAAAGATTTTAAAGATAAATATACTATTTTTTCTTGTTTCCACAGCTGTATGCTTTCTAACAAGCAAGCAGGCAGTGTGTGGCTGAGTTGGACTGAACCAATTCAAAGTGGTGTGTGTGTGGGGGGGGGGGAACCTAGCAATGATATTCATATTAAACATTTAGTTTTAAGTAGGGAGGTGTAGTGAACCTGGTCTGACCCTTATCTGACCTCAAATCTACCAGATGGACAGAGACTGTTATTTTCATTGATCTGAATAAGTCTGGGCCATCTGATGACTTTCTTTCTTGAATTAATCAAGCAGAAAAGACAATTCTTTATAATCATTACTGTCTTACAAATGTTTTGATAATCAAATTGTGTTAGTTCACTCAATGCTTTACAGGTTGAAAAGAACTACTCATTTTTATTTTACATAAACAGTAAGTAATGATTTTTATTCCTCATTCAAAGAAGAAATCACCTGAATATGCATTTCTTGATTTTCTGTCTGAAATGAGTCAAGTCGTAAGTATGTGAAAGGTTGGTTTTCGGTCAACTAAAATGTTTACTGAAGAAGAAATGTCATGTTTTACTATTTGAAAAGATTACCAAGTGTGAGACTCCACGAAGTCTGGTCGACTGCAATAATCTTTTCTGTATGTTGAAAACAATCCTTGACTTTTGATAATAACTTACGTCAAAAAACCACTCCTCTTTCTGGTCCATCCACGAATCAGAAAGCTCTGAAGTAAACTCGGAAGTAAACTCATTTAAAATGTGACAACTTCCCGGTTCTAGGAGTCGAGTCTAGAGTGCAGTCGAGTCTAGAGTGCAGTAGATTCCATGGAGAATGGAAAAGTTCTGAAGGAGTTCAGAAGAGAACTAGAGTTATGGAGAGTTTTGGAGTTGCCGAGAATCCAGAGACGTTTGGAATTATAATTTCTGTTTGAGCTAACCACGCACGACTCTCTAAGGATTTTAGCAGTTCTCAACGGAGACGCTGATATCAGTTGAAAAGGATTCTTACTGAGGTGATCGATCATCAACAAGGTAAAACTTCTTCTTCGACCAAGTGTACCGTGGGCAAAGCTGAGATCTGACGGAGCGTGCAACTTCTGGTCAAACAGATTAAATTCCCTCACATAGTTCTCTGTAAGATAATCTCCTTTCATCTTAAACTCTTCTCTCTCACAAAATCAGTACAGATATTTTAGAAATATCTGAAGCAAAGTCCTCAAATCACCGCCGAGTGATTTGAAGTTCATTATTTGTGAAACTGTCTGTTATTATTTTCATATTTTGCCAAATTAATGTAAATGTTTGATGTTAAACTTTGATTCTGAAAATAAATGACTCCATTCATTTGATGGGTCAAAGATAATAACGTCTCTCGTTCACATTTCTGTTAAATTCAATGCACGGCATTTACAGTCAGAAAAATGAAGAACTCGTGAAAAGTATGCATAAATATATACCCCGTATATTTGTCATACAACAAGTGACACGTACCCACGTGACTCACTACAGAGGGTACAAAAAAACTGATTTTAACACTACCCGATTTAGTCTTATTGCTGGAACAAATTGTGTTTTTCAGTAAAAATAAATAAATTGGGGTGTGTGTGTGTGTGTGTGTGTGGGGTCAAGTTTGCACACCCACTTTAGAAAATGGGGGAACACCTGCTTCATTGAGCAGCACACATTAAAAAAGCCTTCAGATTTACATACATTAACGAATGCATAAAATAAGAAGAAAACAAATCAACCACATTTATTATTTTTCACTCCTTCGTGCATCAGTATTTTACTTACAAGTTGTGTTCCATATTTGAACACCTTGCCATTGTCATCCTCTGTGTAAAACTCCTGCAGGAACCTTTTGCACTTTTCTGCAAAAACAAACAGGCTCTACGTTAACGAGACGATCACAGCCAACGTTTAATCATTTACCTAAACCTTGTGTCCAAAAATAAAGCGTCTTTCTGCTCTCATCACTAACAGCTGAGGGCCTTCAACACTGGAAGCTAATTTGTTGTCCTGCGACCCCCCCTTTGTTGAGTAACATGGCATCCTGTAATCTCGATGAGTCACTATTGCTACAGTACAACACAAACTGCCACTGGTGTGTAAACATGAAGCAAATACCGCCCATTCGTACCTCCTTTCACAGATCTCTAGTAAAATAAAGTATTACGCAGTTAATCGCCCCGGGGTACGAACGTAAATACAACAGGCGCGCTCAGTTGTGTCCCCTTCTTCCTTTCTCTTGGGTCAATATTCCCAAGCACTTCCCGAAATAATCACAACTATTGACAATATTTTATTGCACATTATACGAGACAAAACTTGCCTTCGAACTGTATTTAAAATACTGCGCTTACTTTGACGTCGTAGTAGAAAATTCGCTGCGCGGCTGGATTATTTCCCATGTTCGAGGATGTTATTGTAAACAAAGCAGCACATGGCTTTTGTGCCCCGTCACTCAAGATATCCCTCCGCGATTCCTCCGCCACTACAAGTAGTCCCGGTTGTTGTTTTAAACCGAAGCCAGCCATCTTTTTTTTTTTTCTTTAAACGTTAGCTTGGGTTAGCTTAAGAGTTGTGCTCGATAGACAGAACTGCTAATGCTAACTGAATCTTTGTACAATGATCTTAATTGTAAGGAGGGACAGTTTTACTCCTAAAATTTTGTAAGCACTAACATGTTAGCTTAATTAAGAGGCTTTTAAAACAAGACAGTTTAGTAGTTTCGTAGTGTCAAAATCAAGGCGTTAAGTACAAAATGGTGCGTTCACGGACCGTTGACAATAGGACGGAACACTGATATATTTCGTCTGAACTGGGGGGACTCTTAAACCGCTCAAAATAATGAAAATACGGTAGTTTGGTTAACAAATAATACTCATAGGCTGAATTTAGTTAATTAGTGATAAAAGTTTTAGTCAGATGATTCCAAACGATAGTTTACACATTATGAATTAGAAACACAGGGTGCCAAACTTTCTCGCGTGACGTTAAACTTGTATATAACATAAATCCGACAAATGCGTAGATATTGATTTTAACTGAGTAAAACGTCCAGTAGTTATTGTTGGACATGTGCTTGCTTGCAGTAGCGCCTGCTCCTTTGTTTAAGGATCCATCCGGGTCACCGTGTAGCTCAGAGGGACAAACTAGCAGAACTGAAGGGGTAACTAATGTTCAGGAAACTATATTTAAAGAAAACAACCCCATGTGTATGCCTTTCTTAGGCAACACGATGTATTATTATGTTCTTAAAAAATCTTAAAAGGCAGACCCTTAAACTCGTTTTAAAACTGAACAATTTCTACTCCATGCACATAATTATAAACGCTTTTCCTCACACGTATTTAATAGGTACCGCAATTAAAAGAAAATCAAGTCATTTTGGTCAACCTGTTGCTGCCATGCTGTTATGAGACAACTTCGTTACCTTTCTCTGCCATATAATCCTTGCGATCCATGGCTGCAGACGCTGGTTTTCAGGTGAAGGAATTTGACTCCGAAATCTTTAGTGGCCCACGAGCTAAAGTGCGGTTTTGTCTTTTTATTTTAACGCCAGACTTGAATTCATTCACATGCAACCAGAACTTCTCCCGGTCCGAGTGTAGAACTGGCGCCACTCTGACACCCACAGCAGCCAATCAGGTCGCGCCTTTCGGTGGGAAGAGGCGGGACTTCATCGTGGCGCGAAAACTGTAGGAGGGTGTGCGTCACATGACTATGTACACTTCCGGTAGGCTTGTCAGGAATGGCGCGAAACGCGTTAACGTCATTTTATAACGAGTGGGCATGGCAAAAATTTATTTTCATGTATTTTTGTTTATTTTAAACATAATATACTTGAGATACTAAGTATTTTTACAATTTCTACTAATAGTTACTTGTGCTTTTGTCATACATGTACACATTGTCACAAAAGCACTTGCACATCAAGTGTAAATTCAGACTGTTTTTATTATCATTTGGAAATAAACTTGCAATACAACTCACGTTCACTTTGCAGTTTTATTGCAAACTTTGTGAGCAACAACTATTTAAATTTCTTTTCTATAAACTAGATTTGAACAAAAACAAAAGCCTTTAACAAATTAATTCAGAAACAGAGTTGAAAATGTGGCATTTAGAATATTTTCTAAAATAACATTTCCAAAAACATTTTCCAATATAACATCATTGCCAATAATATTTAATAACTGTGATCCTTGCTGGAAAAATGAGTCGAGCACAAGCTCTGCCTCATAAACCAAACTAACTTGTTGCCAGGCCAGGTGATAAATGGCCTAATTTGAACAAACATACCATTTTGACTCGAGATGGAAAATTAAAAATAACCCCAAACTGAAAAAAATCCTTATAACTTGTTTCGTCAGCACTAGTTACAATTGGTTACAATTAATTAAAAATTCCCATTAAAAACAAGTTAAACTGCAACAGAACTGAAGACGGAACAGAGGAACGGAAGGCTTTTACAGGAAAACTTCCAACAGTGAAGATGCAGAAGTGCCGAGATGATCCAAACCAGACTTCAGTCAAAGAGCTCATCAAGGAAACTGGCTGAAGTGTGACGCGTGGTGGGCTGAAAGTGGAACAAAAAATAAGTGGATTGGAGTCTGACTTGGAACCATTTTTGTTGTTTTTGTTTAGTTCTCTGAGACGTCTAGTGAACGGGCACTAAATAAAATATTTAGTTTATTTGAAAAAATAATTAGCAAACACAAACAGCATCAAGTTTCCATTAAGAGTCAGAATTTTATACTTCAATTATAGTTCTGCATTTTACTCAGCTCAAACAAATGCAGAATCCGGCAATACGAAATAAAATGTATGCTTTCCAATTCATCTGTACAACAATTTCTGCTACAGGTGTGTCATGAGTTTGCAGCTTCCTCCACAAATCCCACATTTATTAAACTTTCTCTACATTTTAATAGAAGCTAAGTGGATACTAAAACCCGTTTAGTACAGTAAAACATCACAAAGGTCCTGTTCAGGGTTCGATGACACAGTCATTAGGAAAGCCCTACAATTTTGTAGAAACCTCAAATATCCTCCACATTAAAAAAAAAAAAAATTCACTTGAGGAGCTTTACTGTGCAATCATTATCTTCATTACCTCATTGCACTGCACAGCTAATTCATCATCATCATCATCGTCAGTGCGGTCTGTGCCCATCACTACCTGGAAGATTTATTTTCAACGTGTGCACACTGCATAGATGAGCTTAAGGTGTTTTAAGGCTTTTTATCTTTGTCTGTTTTGTGCTGCAGCCAGCTGTTCAGAGCAAACTGAGTCATAGAGCTGTCTGCAAAACAAAAAGGTTGGGGCATCAACAATCAACATTTTTACATCAACAGTGACTGGTGCACTAATGTGACAGTGATCCTGCAACATTGTTCATCGACCTGGAATCATTCACCATAACCTGTAAGCTCCTCGAGTCCCTCTGTGAGCTCACGCCAGCCATCTTGGTTGTGGTGTACATTCCTGCAGACGCTGACGCCAAAGCAAATTGCTTGTATGAGCTAATGTACATAGCAATAAATTATTCTGAAGCTTTTTTTTTTTGGGAACGTATCCAAATTTCGTGTTTTTTCACAATTTGCTGGTGCTCTAAACACCTGCAAAATTGTGTGTGTGTGTGGGGGGGTGTCTACTGTAGTTTGTAACACAGTATATAAAGACAAAGTGTCATGCACCCAAAACAAATACAGTAGTCCCTCGCTACTTTGCGGTTCGACTTTCGCACTCGCTCTTTAGCAATTTTTCCAATTGTTAACTTTAATATTACTCACATGACTGAGACGGTACCGAATAAAAAGTTAACGGAAAAAAAAAACTTCAGACAGGCGCCGCCATTTTGTAGTTTTCTTTCAATAAGCCTATACTGTAACACCAGTCAAAAGAACTACACTGCCCAGAAGCCAACAGCTGCTTCTGGCCGCTGCTTTCTGCCGAAATGGAGGGAAAGTTTTTCAACGCTAAGTCAAAAATAACAATCTTATCTATGAAGCTCACAGAACTGGCAAGAAAGTCTCAAATAATCCTGAAGCCCCTGGAGCTCAATTATCCACGTGCACATCAACCTGGACGGGGCGGTGGGCTTCGTCATGCTACAGGGTAGGTCTGCCGAACCAGAACCAAGCTGGAACGGAACCAAGCTGCTGTTCTGCAGAGCTGGCGAGTACTATTTTTGCAGTACTGTACAGTACATATACATATGTTGTTAAAATTACATAG